TTAGTCATAAGTCTAAAGAAGACTTTAGCTTTCACAGGACTGTGTAAATGAGCAATATCTGTTTTACTACCTTGGTAACACCTTGTCAGTGTTTAGCAACAACAACAGTTTATCCTGCAAAAGTAAACAAGGAAGAAGACCGAAGGAAATTGCTCATTTCAGATACATTTCTTTTTTTCATAAATCAAAACACCTTCAATTTATAATTGTTAATAGCAGAGTTTTGAGATTGTAGCATTTAGCTGTCTTTTCATAGCATTTTATTGTATATTTATATATGAAGGAACAGATTTTTCTGGTCTCATATTAAAAAAAAGTATATTTTATGAATATACATTTGTGGCCACCTTCCATCAGTCCTAGCATTTGAACAAAAATTTAAAATTATTTCCAGATTAAAAACAAAATATAATAATAATGAACATTGTGTAGCTATTATGAAGACTCTTGAAGTCAGAGGCAAATGTTTTTGCAATATGAGAATAGCTGGGCTTTTACTTGCATAATATGTATGAAGGCTGCCTTTGATTTCTGTTTGTGAGAATTAAAACTTCTGTTAAAACATAATTATTTTGTTTTACTGTTTCAATGAGAAAACATAAAAATAAAAAGTATAATAAAAAGTAAAATTGAGCATCCATAGGGTATATCTTATAAAAAATAAAGTTTCTGTACAGCCCATCAAGTATTAACCGAGCATATTTCAGAGTTAATAGCACAGTCCACTGATTTGCTGGTCCTGCTATTTATAGGATTAAGCATTAGGAGTCCAGCATGAGATTTATGTGAAAAGCTTTATATATCTTAAAGCATCTTATAAGCATTATCTCCATAACTGTACTTGTTAACATGCTGTTTTTTAATTATTATTTTAATATTAAAAATCACAGCCAAATTCAAACAGAAATAAGGAAATATATTTTATACATAGAAACAGTCATTCAGCCCATTTTTTTAAAAAAATATCATTAAATATTAGAGAATATTAATCAGCCTTTGCATTATACCAACAGAAAGCCAGAATCTGGGAATAATCTGTTTTAGTGGAACCTGTGCTGAGCAAACACATAGTTCTTCACATAGTGATACAATCCGGTTTTTCGATATTTAATTTATCTTTCCCTGTCTTTGACAATAATACGTTATGCAATTATTTTCCTTGGATTTCTTCCAGTTCAAAATTGCTATGGAATGTTGCATGTAAAGTTTTCATTAGGACAAGGTAGAAATAAATGAGTTTATCACTTTTTGCTGTTTCTGTTTAATAGTTTTATTTAGAGATTAAAGTATTGCACCAAGAGCCTACATTCTAGTCCTTCCATAGGCATGGAACCTCCTGGGATTATTTTGGGCCAGTCACTTACTCTCAACCCTAGAAGAAAGACAATGGCAAACCATTTCTGAGAACGTTGTCAGGAAAACTGCGCAGACTTGCCTACTTACGCTCGATCTAAACTTGTCTGTAACTATGTTTAGGTGCCAACACATACCTATACTGCTAAAGGGTTGATGGGAAAGCATAGGTTGCAGATGGTTGTAGATGGGCCAGCACACACACTTCCCAATTCTCAATTATGCGTTGGGTAGAAATGCACATTCTGCAGGCTGATTGGTTGATCTGATCTGTTGGAAGGCGAGTGGGAAGGCAAGGTACATTGTTGTTTGAGTGCCACCTAGTCAGAATGTTAACATTTACAGAATTGGCCTTCAGTTCGAAAATATTGCACAGATCTGGGTTCAGTTTGGTATGGTATTATTTTGTACCCAGTCTTGCCAACTGAAAATGAATTTTTATACAGATGGTCCTCGATATAACAACCACAGTTGAGCCCAAAATTTCTGTTAAGTGAAACATTTGTTAAGTGAGTTTTGCCCAGAAGTGGGCTGCTTCTGGTTTGGACCGGTTCGCCTGGACCAGTAGTTCCAACCACTGGCTGAGTGCACCCCCACCCCTGGTGCTATCCCATCCTATATATCTCACTCTCTGGCTCACTCGCCTCTTCCACACAGCACAGCTGATTTCCACACCTCGCCCGCTCTGCTCACCATAGCTGCCCAAGAAGGTGTGCTGGAAACCACGCGCATGAATCGCCTTGTGTTTGAAGCTGAGTGCAATGCGGAAGCTCCACGCATGAGCGAAGCGCACATGCACACATTTTTAGTTCTGCATTAGGCAAAGCGGTTGTTAAATTAAGTGAAGCCCACCTATGTTTTTGCCCAGTTTCCCAACCTTTGTTGCCACAGTTGTTAAGTGAATCACCTCAGTTGATAAGTTAGTAACCTGGCTGTTAAGTGAATCTGGCTTCCCCATTGACTTTGCTTGTCAGAAGGTCACAAATGTGATCACATGATCTTCGGACACAGTAACGGTGATAAATAGTTGCCAGGCATCAGAATTTTGATCGCATGATCATGGGGATGCTGCAAAGGCCGTAACTATGAAAAATGGTCATAAGTCAACATTTTTCAGTGCCATAACTTTGAACAGTCACTAAATGAACTGTTGTAAGTTGAGGACTACCTGTAGTTTGTATCATTAAATATGTCATTTTTAAAAAATACAGTGTTCTTGCATGTGGAATTTCAATTATTAAGTTCTTTTATAAGTACAGAATTGTGTCATAAAATAATAGTTTTACAATTATTATCAATTGAAATAATTACTAATATCAGCTGACTCATTAAAACTCATTGTTCTAATTCATTATTTTTTGTTCCTGAATTTTCTCATACTGCTAGGCATTTCTGAGTTGTGCTAATATGTCCTCTGTCTGTCCTCTCCAGTAATCCTTTCTTAATGCTACGTGAGTAGATTATTAGTCGCACGTCCTCAACAATAAGGAACAATCTGTTGTTTACAGTAGGTTCTTTTCCTCTTTCTCCAAGATGTTGCCTTGGGAATATGCCAGTTCTGCATATGAGTCAGATGAGATTGTATAGAATACTCTGTGGGTCTGTATAGAATATTCTGTGGTCCCAAAGTGGTTACCTGATAGAATAATAATAAGAAATACTTGCAGAGTATTTAAAATTATTCAAATAGGGAGAATCAGGTATAGAATTAAATAATAAATGGATAGTTATGTTTTGCTCCTTGCTCCTTTTTCAGGCTACATACCCTACATACCCTCTTCTATACTACCTCTATTATGTCACTAAACAGATACAATAACATTATCTGCAGTAAAATGCATTTAAATTAAATTTCCACTTCTAATCTCTAAAAGGAAACCCTGTATATATTCCAATATTTGTTTCACTTTTGCTCACACCTTATCTACCCAGTTGAATCTTACTACGTATGAGTTTCCTTTGTGGATTCAGGTATAGATTAATGACAACGTCAATATTTCATTTTATCAGTATTTCCTTTCATTTTATTATAATATATAAAACAAAGCTTTGCATAAAAATATGATTATGAATAAAATACGTCAAAGAAATGTGATTAAACCGCTTTATTACATTTCTCCCTCTTTAAAACTAATCAAACATTGATAAAAAGCATATGTTGCCTTGCTACTTCTCCATGTGTAGATGTATAATTCTAATGTGTATTATCATTATGTTGGGTATATTTCATACACAAAGTATAGTCTTCTTGCTTGCTTGCTTTTTTTTTTATTTATTTATACATTTATATCCCGCCTTTATTATTATTATAAACCATTCAAAGCGGTAGGCATATCCAACACGCTTCCATCCTTCTATTTTCCCCACAGTAACAACCCTATGAGGTGGGTCGGGCTGAGAAAATGACTGGTCCAAGGTCAGCCAGCTGACTTTCATGGGTAAGGCAGGACTAGAACTCACAATCTCGTAATTTCTAGCCCGGTGCCTTAACCAATATTAATAGATTCGGAATACAGACAGAGTCCTGTGCAACTGTAGAGGTAAAGAAGGATACAGGTAGTCCTTGACTTATGACCACAATTGAGCCCAAAATTTCTGTTGTTAAGTGAGACATTTGTTAAGGGAGTTTTGCCTCATTTTATAACCTTTCTTGCCACAGTTGTTGAGTGAATCACTGCAGTTGATAAGTTAGTAACCTCACGGTTAAGTGAATCTGGCTTCCTGATTCACTGCTAGTAGAAAGCTGCAAAAGGTAATCACATGAACTTGAGACACAACAACGGTCATAAGTATAAACCAGCTGCCCAGCATCTGAATGTTGATGACCTGCTCATGGAGAGCCTGCAAAGGTTGTACCTGAAAAAATGATCGTAAGTTACTTTTTTTCAGTGCCGTTGTAACTTTGAATGGTCACTAAGTGAACTGTTGTAAGTTGGGGACTACCTGTATTTACATTTGCAAGAAAGTTGTGGTTTTTTTTAGTCCAATCTTCATTGAATGACAATTTTACATTAAGAATGTTAATTTAGTATTTTATGTGATACCAGCGCAGTTGGTCAAGTTTCCCAAGTTGGTCTTTCAATTGTAATTTAATCTATGGATGCCGCTATAATACATGCACAGAAATAATAGGATGATGCACTCAAAAACAGTAGTGCAGGCAAATCATTAATATACCAGTCCTAAGGAGTTTGGTTTAGCTTTTTTCATTTAAATGTTCATATTGTATAACCGTGACCCGTCAAAACCGCGGTCCACAAAAGCGCGATCGATGAAAGCGCGCATTTGACGTCATCACAGCGCGACGAAAAAAATTAAAAATTGAAATAAAAATAAAATTAAAGCAAGCCGATTCACATAAAGGTAAGGGTTAGGGTTAGGGTTAGGTTAAGGGTTAGGGTTAGGTTTAGAGCGTTAGGGTTACCTTTAGCGTTAAGGGTTAGCGTTAGGTTTAGCATTAGGTTAAGGGTTAGGTTTAGGGTTAGATTTAGGGTTAGGTTAAGGGTTAGGTTTAGGGTTAGGTTTGGGGGGGTAGGGTAAGGTTTTCGCTTTATTTTTACATTTTTCGATCACAGCGCGATGTTTTCGTCGCGCTGTGATGACGTCAAATGCGCGCTTTCGTCGACCGCAATTTTGTCCTCCGCGGTTTTGTGGTGGAACCTTGTATAACTTATACTGCCTGTGTTGTATAACTTATACTGCCTTGTTATGTTTAACATTTCCTATATAATATGTTTTGTTATGAAGGATCCATGTAAGGATGGCAGCTTTTCTCCATTTGCTACTATATTATTTCTGGATAGAGTGGTTATAATATTGAAAGAAGACTGATGACTTAAGCAACTACTATGACTGTTCACTTACTCATATAACAGCACCATTCTGAATAAAGAAACACTCAGGAATTTTTAAGCATTTGGCTACCTTACTTTTTGCAAAATGAATCGTTATACAACTCTGAAGCAACTTGGGGACGGAACCTATGGCAGTGTTCTGATGGGGAAGAGCAATGAATCAGGGGAGCTGGTGGCCATCAAAAGGTATGTGTCATTATATCCTCATGTTCATTTAACACTTAACGGCACAGTCCTATACATATCAGCTTCTGAGATCTCCGTATGATCAAATTATAGGGTTGTGCTGTCATATCTTTTCCCCCATTTTGTTGCCTATGCCTTTCTTTGCTGTATTACTGTCAGTGTTCCAGAAAACCCAAAATCCCGTGTTAATATGGCTTCTAAAACTGACAATTACACTCTCTTACATACGCTGGTTAGCTAAACTAGTCATCTTACTTTATGGCAGCATTTCTTCATAAGGTCAGCAAGAGATAAGCCTAACTCAGAGGATACTTCAACCTGTTACCTTAAAACATTTTGATATTTCAGGTTATTTATTGTTCTGCCAGGTTTCGGCTAGTGGGATGGAAATAAGGAAGAAGTAGTGGTTTTTATTCTGTCCCCATTCTCCACCCCCCTCCATTTGAAAAAATAATTGAATTCCCTCCTTGTGACACTGATAGAAGATAATAAATCTTCACTAGCTGTTGAATTTGTTGAGATGCTACACAAATTTGTATAGCAAATGTTGATGAATTAAGAGAGATTTTAGATATTGCAAACTGTAACTGTCAAAATGGTCCTGGGTGAATCTTTTTATTCAATTCTGAAAGAAGTAGCCTCTCAAAAACAGGGGTGTTTCTCCTGCTGGATTTCTTTTAAAGTGAGACCCTGTGTAATAATATTTTAAAACTCATTATATTTTAACACGTTTTATAAAATTTTAGGGGGTATGAGTCTCTTATTTTAAAGTTTTCTTTTAACTTTTATTTCAGAATGAAAAGGAAGTTCTATTCTTGGGATGAATGTATGAATCTGAGGGAAGTTAAGGTAATTAGGGTAGTATGATAATTTTAATAACATATTTAGACCTGATATGTTAGGTTCAGTGCAAATACTCCAGATTTGTTATTCTAATTAATATTCTTCTCTAATATGTAGAAAGAAAGAAAATGAATTGTTAAGAACTTGGCTAATTGGTATTGATAAAAGTCATTTACAGATTGAAGGCTTCTTAAAGTACCCTTGAAGAAAGTTATTTGCTGAATAAAGGCTAATAATTTGGCTTTTGTTCTGTTTGGTTTGCTTTATAAAAAATGGAGAATAGTTTATGCAATTTGATTTGTGTGTGCTAAAATGGAATCTCCTTGCCCACTTTCAGCCTTCTCAAGTGTAGGTTTCTGTGAGCAATATTTTTATCTGGATTGTATGTTGTTAGTTGCGAAGTCGTGTCCGACCTATCACGACCCCATGGACATTCTTCCAGGCCTTCCTGTCCTCTACCATCCCCTGGAGTCCATTTAAGCTTACGCTGACTGCTTCAGTGACTCCATCCAGCCACCTCATTCTCTGTCATCCTCTTCTTCTTTGCCCTCAATCATTCCCAGCATTAGGCTCTTCTGTAGACTAGGTAAAAGAAGAAGGAAAGGCATCCAGAGAAATTTAACTAATATATAGTTTTTATGGCAATATACTTTGTAAATGTTAAAGATCTACACGTTAGGTTTAGTTTGCATCCTAAGTCATAATGGAAATAAAATCTGTATGTCTTTATAAGTGGTAAATGCTTCTATTCAAGTTTGAATTAACCTCCCCCATTAAAACTATTTGTTGTCTTGAATTGTAGTCTCTGAAAAAACTTAATCATGCCAATGTAATAAAGCTGAAAGAAGTTATTCGAGAAAATGACCATCTGTATTTTGTGTTTGAATATATGAAAGAAAATCTGTATCAGCTAATGAAAGACAGGTATGTTTAGAACCAATTTGCTGTTTTCACATTCTTTAATAATTCTCTATGCATCACAAAAGATACACAATAGTTTAATAAAGTATAATTTTTGATGTTTATTTATTAGATTTTTTTTTAAAAAAAACCACCTGTATTTTTTTAATTAACAAGATAGCGGACATAGATAATATTCCTTTCTCCCATATTTGCCTCACAACAACAACCCTATGAATGAATTGTCCGGAGAAATATTGATTGGCCCAAAGTTATCTGACCTTTCATTCTTAAGGTGGGTCTATTTGCCAGGTTTCTAGACCAGCACCTTAACTACTATATCAAACTGACTCTCCAAGTTAGTTATAATGGTTGCTAAACCCGTGACCCGTCAAAACCGCGGAGGACAAAATCGCGCTCGACGAAAGTGCGCATTTGACATCATCACAGCGCGACA